TTTAAATTCAGTTACTTAATTGTAACCAACAGCTTAGCATAAAAGGTGTTAACATTTCCTGGGGATGATAGATGGGAAACGCCATCATTTCATTGAATTTAATTTTTAGGCTCCCAATACCAAAACTTTTACAGTTGAATTTCTCACATTTGAGGAATTCTCAAAGGTCAGCACACCTGGAATGCAATGAATAAACCTCACCCTGGGAAAACCACCTTCACCACCTTTGTGATCACGGTATCTCCCCTGCCAGGTTAAGTATACATTAAGAATTTATCAAGGGAATTTACATATGAGGTGTGCCTTGTGGACAACATGGAACATCCTCCATGCCACTTGGCAGGCGACAACCGGTGTAACCCACCCCAAATAAGGGGTAAATGCCTTGCATACTTACCTGGAGCAGGACAACAGTGCTTTCTAGGAACCAGCATGTCAGGGGCATAGAGGACAGGTAGATCATAGTCTGGAGGATTTTCAGGAAGTAATGTTTTGACCAGGATCTAGCTAGCCAGTGGGGCAGTACTCACTCTTGGAATAGTTTCTCCTCCACAAAAGTTATTTTCATAAAGTACAAATCCCTGACATTTAAAAACGTACTCCAGCCGGGGAGAGGTCAATGGGAAAAAGAAGACATATATAATACTATATATAGTACTTTAAACAATAAAGATTAAAAAAAAAAAAAAGACAGGAAAAATTTTTTACTAACTATATTGAAATACTACTAATAAATACTAAAATTTTTTTGCATGACCATATTAATATATTCTAGAAATGAAAAAAATTAGAAAACTGTCTTTTATTTTTATTCTCTTGGTACTCTTAAGTGTTTGCAGCAAATGACAGAAAGAATATATATAATGTATTCAAATTTGTAATTTCTTATGCAAATTTCTGTGCATGAACATAAAAACATTATTTTAACAAGATCAATAAAGTGTTACCATTTTCTATAAAAAAAAACCCACAGAAATAAAAAAATAAAAAAAATAAAGCCAAAACCGGTTTGGCTCAGTGGTAGAGCGTCGGTCTGTGGTCTGAAGGGTCCCAGGTTCGATTCCGGTCAGTGGTATGTGCGTTGGTTGCGGGCACATCCCCGGTGGGAGGTGTGCAGGAGGCAGCTGGTCGATGTTTCTCTCTCATCGACGTTTCTAGCTCTCTATCTCTCTCCCTTCCTCTCTGTAAAAATCAATAAAATATATTTAAAAAATAAAAATAAAATAAAAACCTATTCCACACTCTTATGCTACTCTATTATCACACCTCATCAAAACTTCATTATATAAAATACTTCGTTGCATGTCTACTCCAATTTCAATATAATCTGACTTCTGGCCCACCCTACATTGGTAGACTTGCTCATTCAAAAATCACCTTCTGCTCTAGCCATTTTAGCTCAGTAGTTAGAGCAGCGGTCGCCAATCTTTTGGATCTCATGAACCACCAGTGTGGTCTGTGGACCACCAATTGGCAACTGCTTAGTTAGGGGGTTGGCCCTCAGACTGAAGGGTTTCGGGTTCATTTCCATCAAGGGCATGTACTTCGGTTGCAGGCTCAATTCCCAAGCCCAGTCAGGGCACGTGTGCAAGAAGCAACCAAATGATTTGTCTTTCTCATATTGATGTTTCTCTTTCCATCCCTCCCCTTCCCTTCCACTCTCTCAGAATCAATGGGGAAAAAAATATTTTTAGCTGAAGCCGGTTTGGCTCAGTGGTAGAGCGTCAGTCTGCGGACTGAAAGGTCCCGGGTTTGATTCCGGTCAAGGGCATGTACATTGGTTGCGGGCACATCCCTATTAGGGGGTGTGCAAGAGACAGCTGGTCGATGTTTGTCTCTCATCGACGTTTCTAGCTCTCTATCCCTCTCTCCTCCTCTCTGTAAAAAAATCAATAAAATATATTTAAAAAATATATATATCTTTAGGTGAGGATTAACAAAAAATCACCTTCAAACCAAACCCAATGGTCAGTCCTGTCTTAACTACCAATGCACCTGGTCCATATTGTAGCATTTATTACATACCCGAGTTTTATTATTCATCTTTGTATCTTAGTACCAATGGAAGTTATAGGCACAAGGTAGATGCTAAATATTTGTAAATTCAACAAATGTTTATTGTGCACACTGTATCAGGCATTATGCAAGGTGCTGGGGACAGAGAAAAAAACCTTAACCTCAAGTTCAGATGTTTACAGCAATGTTTGAACCACCCCATCTAAAAAAATAAGGAATACTTAAGTCTGGCCAAAGATAACAGCCATTTAACCAGAGCTGGGAAATTCAAACCCAAGCTGTAACTTTGTAGTGTAAAGCTTCTTGTGTGTTATACATCATTGAGTCTGCTCAGACTCCTGGCAAGCCATAATGAGTTTTGTCCCCAATGTCCTATCCTCAACAGCTCTGCTCAGCTCCTGTAAACTCATGCCTACGGCTTCTTTTAAGGAGTCCTGCCTTCTCATGGTATACATAAAGTAGGACGATAAGGCCTCTTACATAACACTTAATTCATTCCCAGAAATGTTCTAGGTGTTAACAGATGTCAATTCATTTAATCCTCTCAACAGTCTTAGGAGGTAGGCACAACTGTCCCCATTTTACAAAAGAGGAAAGAGGCACTGTGAATAATTTGTCCAAAGTTACACAGATTTTTAAGGGCAAAGCTGGTAGTTTAAGCTCAGGCATTCAGGATATTTACTACACTATAATGTCTTGTGGTAGTTTTCTTTTTTTAAAGAGAGAGGGGGAATTCAGCCCTTTGTAGATAGCACCCTTTAAAAAAAAAAAAAATAGCCAAAACTAGTTTGGCTCAGTGGATAGAGCGTCGGTCTGCGGACTGAAAGGTCCCAGGTTCGATTCTGGTCAAGGGCATGTACGTTGGTTGCGGGCACATCCCCGATAGGGGGTGTGCAAGAGGCAGCTGGTCGATATTTCTCTCTCATCGATGTTTCTAGCTCTCTATTCTTCTCCCTTCCTCTCTGTAAAAAATCAATAAAAAATATATTTAAAAAAAAAAATATATATATATATATATATATATATATATATATATATATATATTAATTTCAGAGAGAAAAGGAGAAATAGAAACATCAATGACAAGAATCATTGATTGGCTGCCCCTTACTGCAGGTCAAGCCTGGGCATGTGCCTTTGACTGGAATCGAACCTGTCTGCACTGCAGGCTTACCTCTACCCACTAAGCTAAACCAGCTAGAGCGAGATAGCCTTCTTTTAAGCAGAGAAGCAGAACAGTAATGCTGTAGGAGACTCATGGAAAACGTATTTGGCAAAGCACCCAGCAAGCAGTGTCTAGAGATCCTTGATTGCGTAGCTGAGCATTTTGAAGTTCTGGTGGCTAGCAACCATCTTTTCCTATAAGCCATAGTAAAAAGAATATACATTGTAACCACCTACATTCAGATATACACATGTACATGTATTTTATATATCTATACACACATATATAGTCTCCCCAAAAATGTATACACATACTTTGAATAATCATAAAGGCCATGTTTATTAAAATACATTTCATTTTCAAAACTGAGCTATCAGCTATAAAGTGTGTACATTTTGGGGGGATACCTTGTATATAGATAATTATATACTTAAAACTTAACTTTTAAAAAAAATATATTTTTTATTGATTTTTCACAGAGAGGAAGGGAGAGGGATAGAGAGCTAGAAACATCGATCAGCTGCCTCTTGCACATCCCTGACTGGGGATGTGCCGGCAACCAATGTACATGCCCTTGACTGGAATCGAACCTGGGACCCTTCAGCCCGCAGACCGACGCTCTACCACTGAGCCAAACCGATTTCGGCAAAATTTAACTTTCTTAAAAGAATACTTCTCATTCCATATGCCATACATGTGCTGATACTTTTTATTCTATTTTACTTTTTTTTTTTCCTGAGGAAGAAGGAGGGACTCTGTTTAATTCGCCAGCGGACTCAAGGAACATGTTTTACTTTTTTTTATTAAAAGCTGATTTAACCTCCTAAGTTGATTCATGATCCACAGTAATGGGTGTGTAACTGTATGAAAAGTACTTTAGGTGCTGTTCTCCCAAACAAGTAGTATTGAGAAATAACCAGTGATGTGCTTTGGAAAGATAAAATTAAGCAGCAGCAAAAATTATGAGGAAAAAAAGGAGAGTGTAACAATAACACAGGAGAGTTAATGGAAATGAAGAGAACTTTTGTTTAACATAGAAATAAAATTTCAGGGGCTTTTAACACAGAAATAATATGAACTTACTGACTGGATATGCAAGGAAACAGAGATAGCAGAGCCAGAGATAATGCTGTGATTTCCAGCCCAGGTGGCTGAGCACATGAAGTGCCTTTAAAAGGAATGGGGAAATCAGTGAGAGGCAAGTATATGTGTATGTAGGATTATCAATTTCATTTTGAACAAAGAATGTTTGTAAGATTTGGAGAAAATCAGTAGTAACCTGACTGTAGCACAGAAATTAAGATTAGACCCAAATAGAAATGCAGGGTTTAACCCAAAGGGTAGTTCAAGTTATAATAGAAGATGAGATAGCCCAAAAGTAAGGGGGGGAAGGGTACCTTTATGTTTAAGAGAGAGAAAAAAGAAAAAAAGGAAGAGAAGTTCCATAGGGAATGAATGAATTAAAAGTGGCAAATGCTACTTAGGTGGAGAGATCAGGACTAAGAAAACAGCACTGGATTTAGCTAATAAGAGTAAGAGGTATCATACTTGAGTGAGTGGTACCAAATTCAAAACGGTTAGGCAGTGAGTGATGGTTAGAAAACGAAATAAATTCAAGTTTGTCTAGACCCCTCCCGGATCCTGTCTCATTCCAGAAGCATTGGTTGGATTTGTAGTCATAGGGCTCTTTTCGGGGTGGTGGGGTGGAGGTGGTGTCTGTGGCCCTCCAGACGGTGAATTAAATGATTAAGTCAAGCTTTTCGTGGATAAGTGTTCTAAGTCCCAGGCTAACATCTGCTTGTCGGTGTCTTACGCGCTGTCAGCGGCCCCCATCGGCGCCGGGGGTGTCCCCGCTCCCCGCTGCGCTGCGGGCCCGGATGTGGGAGGCGAAGGCCATGAGCATCTCCTGGGCGGTGAGGTGGGCGCCGCGCATGACCAGGCGATGCCCGTCTCCTGGGGAAGAAGCGAATGAATCAGGCGGGAGGAGGATCACAGGGCCCAGGGGGCGCGGGCTGCCCGCCGCCCTCCCCGCCCGACTCCCCCGGCGAGCCCACCGAAGAGCACATCCACGCGGGGTTCGGAGCCGTCGTGCCGCACGTCCACAGTCACCGAGCATTTCAAGTTGGTGGCGCGGACCCTGTCGCGGCTCACCGCCTGGAGGAAGGTCCTGCGGCGGGAGAGCGGCGTGAGCGCCGGGCCGAAGAGCGCAAGGCCCCCGGCGGGAGAGAAGGGCGTCCTTCCCCGTTCCCTCTCCCTTCGCCCAGTACCTCGTAGATTCCACGTTGTTCTCGAAGGGGCAGAACTGAACCCGAACCTCCTTGACTGCCCGCAGTCCTAGCCGAGCCACGGCGGCCCCCGCCATGGTAACCTCCGCCCCGGAAGCACTCGTTCGGTCACACGTGTCGTCAGGGGAGGTTGTGAGTGGCTGCGCAGCCGCAGGCCCCGCCCCTCCGCAGAGCACAGGCCCCGCCCCTGGGCCTCCGCAGAGCACAGGCTCCCTGCAGCCGCGGGTCGCGTGGGACGGCTGACCACGCCACAGACGAAGAGATGGTTTCGGCACAGATTATGGAGGGGCCCAAAGCAATTGGTCAGCGAATACTACCTACCATTCCTAGCCCTGTGGTGACCCCATAACGACTGTGTAAGAGCCGTCTGCTCCTGGCTTCGAAAACAGGCCCGTCTTCTGCATTTCCCCTTACGTTCCCGCTGTGCCCATCTAGGTTAACACCAGCTTAGGCGCTGTCCCTCACAAGGAGGACAGCATCACCACGGCAGGGATTATCACTTACCAGGGAGTGACCCCACCCAGGTCATTGAAAATTAAACATGTTGAACTCTCCGTGACCAAAACTTAAACGGGAAGATCATACAGCCCAATGTGGTGCAGCGGCTGAAAGTAGTAATGGGGAGGACAAGATAATACAGCCCTTGGGACAGACCCAGCTATCGACGGTTTCACCTCTGTGGTTCCTGATGTACTCACTTTATGTTTGGTCTGACTCTGGAGATTCAAGAAGTGGCATCTAGACTCGCTGTCTCATTCCCTTTCCTCTGGGATACAACCCTGGGGCCCTCCTCCCAGTGTCTATCCCTGAGATGTCTTCACTGACGGGGAATTGGGCCTGAGCCTCCTGGCTCCAGGCTGTGGTACTGCCATTTACTCTGGATTCCAGATACTGGAGTGTCCCTAAATTCTTAGCTTGTAAGCCCAGGCTGTGTAGTTTGTTCTCACGTATGTTTTCTTCCAAGCTTCGGATGTAGGCTGAACAGGCAGTCCCAATGTCTGGGCTTTCCCAGCCAGAAATGCAGAGCACTGACTTTCTGGCTGCCGATTAGGGCTCAGGACTGGTCTCCAGGCAGGAGAGAAAAGGCAGTTGCCACCAGGGGCGGCGCTGGTGCTGCCTTAGGGCAAGCCAGGCTTGCTGATTTCCCACCAGGTAAGCCTCGGGGCTAGGTCCCCCACCCCACAGCATGCTCAGCAGCTGAGCTGTCTGTGCTGGGGGTGCTCCAGGCCGAAGAGGGGGCTCCAAGCTCTCCAGGCTGTTGAGGCTGCTGCTGGGCAATTCCAAGGTTTGGACCTCCTTACACGCACCTGGTAAGGCAGGAGTGGAAAGGAAGTGGCTGCTGGGGAGTTGCTGAAGCCAGACCAATGATGAGCTTGGGGGATGGGTCTTTAAAGTAGTAAGTGAGGCCCAAAGAGCCTGGAGTTGAGAAGGGGGAGTGACTCACAGCAACAGGGAGGCCTTCTGTGGACTTGAGTCTTGGGCAGGGGCTGCTGCAGTAGACACAGCAGGGCCCCATCCAGCTGTTGGAAGATGCTGAGCGTAAACAGATTCTGGCGAAGTTCAGGGGACAGGCCCCACTGCTCTTCTTCCAACAGCTCTCGGACCACTCCAAAATCTTGTCTAAGCTGCAGTGTCCCCTGCAGGCTGAAGGCCGAGGTACAAGGTGACCACCTGACCCTCTGGTCTCCCTAAACTGCTCTGCCCCATTTATCCCCTCCCTTATTCCAATTCCATTCACCACCACTACCACCACCACCACCACCACCCCCGCCCCCCCCCCCCCCCCCCCGCCCGCCACTACTTCCTTTTCTCCCCACCTGAACCGGATCCCATGGGTGAGGATGTGGTCCAGCCAGGCACTCAGGATGGCTGTCAATGCCTGGACAAGAGCAGGGGCCTGGGCTGGAGGTAGCAAACCCTGCAATCCTTGCAATACAGGCTCCAGTACAGTGCGGACCACAAACCTAGCATACTCACTAGGAATGCTGGGAAGTTCTGGGGTAAGAGAAAAGGAAGGACAGGATATAAGATTTCTGAGATCCATGAACACCTAATGAAGTGATTGGGGGAAGACAGTAGGATTTCCAGTGTGGGGGTAAGATTTGAAGGGGTCTGGATACTCTTACCCCCTGGGAGCCCTGAGGATGCTGGGATGAGGAATTACCAGAACAAAGGCGCCGCCGCCAGTATCGACCCCGAGGCATGTGAAGTTCGAAGCCCTGTGTAGCTTGTTTATAGCATTCTTGAAAAAAGAGACTCAGTGACTCTTCAGGCAGGAGCTGTGGGCACAGTGACAAAGTAAAAGGGGTTTGTCTGTTAGGGCAGTGGCCGGCAAACTCATTGGTCAACAGAGCCAAATGTCAACAGTACAACGACTGAAATTTCTTCTGAGAGCCAAAAACCGACTTCTGCGCATGGGCCACGAAGTTTCAATCGCACTGTACGTGCGTGCCCACGTACAGTGTTATTTTGTGGAAGTGCCACACTCAAGGGGCCAAAGAGCCACAGTTTGCAGACCACTGTTAGGGGCTTGTCAAGTTCTGATGCTTTTCTAAATCTGAGCTGGTTAACCTGGCATCCATAAAACCCAAGAACAGAATTGTATACATAATTGTGCGGCTCAGGCATTTTCTGAGGACAGATACCATTGCTTTTACTGCATTTTCCAAAAGGTCTGAACCCAGAAAAGATTATGGATAATTGCCCTAAGATATCCTGCTCTTCCCGGCGTGGTTCAGGGGATAGAAATCCTCCAGATTAATTTTTTCCTAGAGGAACATTAATAGGAAAAAGAGAGAGAGAGACCCTCATCACAACCAATGTTCAAAAGCAAATGCTAGGGAGAGGCTGAGGAAGAGTGAGTTGTACAATATCTGGCTATCATTTATGAAGGGAACTGTGTGAAGATCGGAAGCAATGATTGTAACTTTCTGAGATTCAAGAACCTTTGGGGTGTCCTAACACTGAGTGTTCTGACAGCCTACTTGCATTTCTCCAGAGCAGTGCAAACCCATAAAGTAAGAAAAGGCCCTGGTTTGGTTTCCTCGGTTTGATAGGTTTTGTTTTTTATTGATTTCAGAGAGGAAAGGAGAGGAAGGGAAGAAGAAGGGAGGGAGGGAGGGAGATAATCATTAATGATGAGAGAGAATCATTGATGGCTGCCTTCTGCACGAACCCTTCAGGAGATCAAGTCTGCAACCCAGGCATGTGCCTTGACCAGAATCGAACCCTGGACCCTTCAGTCCACAGGCCAACCTTCTATCCACTGAGCCAAACCAGCTAGGGCTAGGTTTTGTTTTTGAAGGGGGAGATGGCAAAAAAGAGAGGGTCTCTATAGCCCATCTTGGAGGATAAGCACCCCAAGATATAGGGTATATAGTAGCAGGTCTGTAAAGAAAAGGTGACTAAATGCTAGCAAGCCTGGAGAGAGGAAGGAGTCTGGGGGGCTGGACATGGGGGTGAGGCTGGAGCCCATGTGGTTCCTGGTACATATCCTGACAACAGCCTCTCTAAACCAAACCTCTTCTCCCCTCCTTCCTTATTTATGCCAAGGAAATGACCCCTCTGTCAACTGATATTGGTAGGGAACCTCTGCACTCAATACTCAGTAAATGCAAGGTCACATGATGAGACAGTCTCTCTCTCTGGGACACTACAGTCCAGTTGGGGAGAAAACTCACAACATCAATTCTTCTTTTTCATCCCAGTTCTGTGTGTGGTGGAATGCCCAGATAGAGGAGCAAGGCATCAGAGTGTTTTGCACAGTATTTGGTCCATACAGCGAGCACACTAACCCTGTTCCTTTTGCTCTGTTCTCACCACCACCACCAAGAGCTGGACGGTATGTCTCCTCACCTCCCTTCCCCCCTGACCACTGTAGCTGGATCAAACACCATCACTGCCTTCACTGTTCCCCTTCCCCTCTTACAGTGGCTCCCTCCCACTCATTAGATAAAGTCTCGATTCTGTGCACTAGTGTTCAATGCCCTCCATCTGCTTACTCCTCCACAGGCCCCCACCCCACCCCAAACACACACAAACCCACTGCATACAAAGGGAGTTTCTGCTTTGGTCAGGCCGTCTCTCCACTACTCTCCCAAGGAACTATGAACTGTCCGCTTCCTGCCACTCCTCTAAAGCTGCCAAGCCACCCGTGAGCCATAGGCCTCGTATGGACCTCCTGTCACCATATGCCCACCACTGTCCTCTGTCCTCAGAGCTCCCATGACCATCACTATCCACCCTAAGCATAAGGAGCCTGCTTTGGGGCATGCTGAGTTGAAGAAGGCAGCAGTAAGTGAAGGTGGAAATGTCCGCTGGGCAGATGCGGACGCTGGATCAGAGCTATACTGGGGTTGGAGTGGGGACTCATAGCACCAAGGCGCTGTGAGGAGCAGGAAGGCAGAGAGAAAAGAGAAGGGAGACAAGGACTGAACTCTCCGCTTTGCCCTTATTCAAGGCAAAGAGGAGAAATGTGGGTAGGAAGAGAGAACAAAAGATACAGACATCTTCCATATAGGAATAGATAATGTGAAAAGTGGAAAAATGGAAGCATAATAGTTTTATTCATAAATTTAGAAGAAAATAAGAAATGTTAGAAGAAATAGCCACGCCCAACCTGCGAGGTTCAGTGGTTGAGTTTCGACCTATGAACCAGCAAGTCATGGTTCGATTCCCGGTCGGGGCACATGCCCTGGTTGTGGGCTCATCTCCAGTAGGGAGCATGCAGGAGGCAGCTGTTTAATGATTCTCTCTCATCATTGATGTTTCTATCTATCTCTCCCTCTCCCTTCCTCTCTGAAAGCAATAAAAATATAAGAAGAAGAGCCAGCCAAGAGTGGATGAAAGTTACCACTGTGGAACAGGAATCAGAGGTGGGAGTGGACATGAGAAACCTTCTAAAATTGTATTCTATTTCAATTTTAAACTATGGACATGTATTACTTTTTAAAAAATATGTTTTTATTGATATGAGAGATAGGGGGAAGGATAGAGATAGAAACATCAATGAGAGAGTTACGGACCAGCTGCCTCCTATACGCCCCCACTGGGGACTGAGCCCACAATCTGAGCATGTGCCCTGACCGGGAATGGAACCAATGACCTCGTGGTTCATGGATTGACACTCAACAACTGAGCCACACCAGATGGGCTGGATATGGATTACTTTAATAAAAGTACAAATTATATGTTTTAAAAAGAGGAGAAACATTGTATTAAAAACTAGTAAATAAAAAGACTCAACCATTTATCTTGCTTTTTCTCTACAAAATAGACCTCCTCAGAGTAATAGAATAATTAATGAGGGAAAGTTTCATTTTATTGGAGTAATCCAAATAATTTAAGAAAAAGAAATGATAGAATTGGAACATCACCACTTTGCATCCCCTAATGAAATCATGGATCTAGCCCTAGCTAGTTTTTTCAGAGGTTAGATCATTGGCCCTCAGACTGAAGGCTGGGGTACTGAATGTATGGGAGCACAAGGAGGAAGCAACCAATCAATGTTTCTCCCTCCCTCTCTCTCTCCCTCCAACTTTCTAAAAATCAATGGAGCTGAAACCGGTTTGGCTCAGTGGATAGGGCATTGGCCTGCAGACTGAAAGGTCCCAGGTTCGATTCCGGTCAAGGCCATGTACCTTGGTTGCAGGCATATCCCCAGTAGGGAGTGTGCAGGAGGCAGCTGATTGATGATTCTCTCTCATCGATGTTTCTAACTCTCTAACCCCCTCTCTTCCTTGCTGTAAAAAATCAATAAAAATATATTTAAAGGAAAAAAATGGAAAAAATATCCTCGGGTGTGGATTAATACACACACAAAAAAAAGAAATCATGGATCTAGGCAATCATCATCAGTGGCCGTTCACCTGACCAAATGAGAGCCTGACATTGGGGAAGAGAAAAATAGATAAAACAAAACTGACCAGGAGCTGACGATTGTTAAAGCCTCTGGGGTAGGAATATGGGACTCCATTATACCCTTCTCTCTACTTGTGTATGTTTGTAATTTTCCATAATACAAAGTTAAGTAGAAAATGAACAAAGCAAAAAAGATTAAATTTAGCAGAGACTCCAAGAAGATTCCAAGTCTCTGACGTGTGCTGTGGCCCACTCCCACCCCCAACACAAAAGCTAGCCACTCTTGGGGTCCCTGCTCTCCTCACCTGGATCTGTATCGCCAGCTTCCGGATTTCCAGGCCCAGCTGCTGCTCCACCTCCAGGGCCAGGCTTTCCTCTGAGACCAGGCTGGAGAGAACTTCTGCCTGATGTAACAGAGGCTTCGGCAGAAACAGGGAGTGAGGTCTGAGCCCAGCCTGGGCTGCTCCCCTCCTCATCCCTAGCTACTTACCCGCAAGTCCTTCTGGATCAGGAGCAGGAAGGAACCCGGGGCCCATGCTGCCAGATGCTGCTGAGCTCTGCCCCAAAACCAGAGCAAGATGGCCTGCAAGGTGCAGAGCCCCAGGGCAAGGGGAGCAGGGCCTGGGGGGGGGGGGGGGAGGGACAAGTATCTGAGGGGTCATGGAGCACCTTTGGGAGGAGCCAGCCTTTAGAATAAAGGAGATATCTTCAACGGTGCTCCTGTTCCCCCAGCCCCAGCTGTCTGTCTCACCTGGAGGCTGACAGAGCAGCAGCCCTGACTTGGGCTCTCGAAGGGCATCCAAGAGAGGAGGGAAGAGCCGTTGCAGAAGTTCAGTGGTGTGAGAGGATGAGGAAAGGCTGCTCTGGTCACCAGCAGACCCCAAGGCTTGGCAGAACACTGAAGATGAGGGGGTACGGTTTGATAGGAAAAGGTCAACCGGGGTTTGTGTTACTCCCAGTGGCCTTTCCTTCTCACCTCGGTCCCAGCTCCGGATCAGAGACTGATGAAGCAGGCCGTGACACAACGAAGCCAGCTCCTTCTCACACTCCTGAGGCAGGGACGCTAATGGGAGAAATGACTCAAGCCTGCAAACAAGGCCTCAATTTTCTACAATCACTGCCCACTCAATGATGGGGGGAGAGAGGAGGCATTTCCCCACCGCTCACCCCCCAAACTCAAGACTAGGGTGAAGCCAAGACCGGTTTGGCTTAGTGTACAGAGTGTCGGCCTGCGGACTGAAAGGTCCCAGGTTCGATTCCAGTCAAGGGCATGTACATTGGTTGCAGGCACATCCCCGGTAGGGGTGTGCAGGAAGCAGCTGGTTGGTATTTCTCTCATCGATGTTTCTAACTCTCTATCCCTCTCCCTTCCTCTCTGTAAAAAAACAAAACAAAACAAAAACGCACACACAAAAAAACACTAGGGTGAAAAGCAAGACTTTGCCTAGAAAGCTCATGTTGCCTGAATCCCGGGGTTGCAGAGGAGAGCAAGCGGGTGTTCATTTTAAAGGGCCTGCTTTTGTAAGTCAGGCTGGCAGGTGAGTGAGGTCACCCACGGAGAAGGGACTCTCCAGCCTTCCCAAAACGCCCACCCAAGCCCACCACTCACCCTGACTCGGCTGTGGTGCCTCTGCTCTGGGGTCTCTCCAGGGTCCTAGGCTTAGGTCCAGACTCTGAGCACAGGCTGCCCATAGTAGGGCCCAGTACTGACTCCACAGGGCTCCAGCCCCACCTGGCCCCAGGCCGCTGCTGGCTGAACCTGCCACGCCCCCAATCAGGCCCAGGAGACCCAGCAGCAGCTCCCGCTCCTCACTCCACCATGTGCGGAGCTGGTCCCACAGGCCCGATCCACTGAGCGCCTCATGCAGTCGATGGGCCACCAGGTAACCCCGCTCTTCCGCCAGGAGGCCAAGCACTCGGCCCGGGGGGAAAGGGCGCGCCGCCCCTGGGACGTGGGCTGAGGCTTTTCCCTGCAGCTGATGGTAGGTGGGCAGCGCCTGCAGCAGGTCAGCCAGGTTTGACGACAGCACGGGGCTGGCGGGCGCCCGGCCCAGAGCGCGAAGCTGCGCCTCGATGACCGCATCCAGGCGCTGGGCAGCCAGTCCGACGGGGCGCGCCAGAAGCAGCGGCTCGGGAGTCTCTCTGAGGCCGGCTGCCAGGACTGCCTTCCGGGGAAGCGGCGGCAGCAGCAGGTCGCGGCAGAGCTGAGGCCAGGGGTGCGAGCCCGGGCACGGCGCGCCGGGGTGCAGCATCCTCAGGAGGCGCACGGCCGCCTGGAGGTGGCGGGCGCAGTCCCGCACTTGCAGGAGCCGCGCCCGCTCGCGGTGCAGCCGCAGCAGCGCAGCCTGGAGCCGCTGCAGCGCGGGAGGTACCGGCCCGGCGGCGGCAGCCTCTCGCCTCGGGTCTGCGGCGCCAGCCTCATGGGGCGGCCCTGCCTTGTCCGTCGGCGCCGCCCACCACGGCTGCCCTCTTGCAGCTCCGCCGGGCCGCGGGTCCAAGTAGGGGATGCTCCCGGCGGCCGGCAGCCCCGGCTCGCCACGGACATCCCCGCCGGTGGCGCCCGCTCGCCTTCGCTCCCAGGGCTCCTCCCCCGCGGCCCTCACCAGCGCCCACGGCTGCGGCCCCGGAGCGAGCGGAGGCAGGCCATCCGAGCGGGACGCCCGGGCCATGGGTCGGCGGGCCCGGAACGAACCTAACGATTCCCACTGGCCCGCACAGCCCAACGTCCGCCGGAGCCCGGACTCCGCCCCACCCACGGAGCCGTCCTTTCTGGCGCGGCGGCCGCGGGACCGTCCTGACCCCTCTCGCGCCCCGTAGCAGGACGCTTCCGCCCCGAACAAAGATGGCCGCCTGCGTTGCCCTCTCACCCCTCCGCCCCTATCCCTTGGGCCCGCATCAAAAACAAGACTGTCTTTCACTTTCGGGTTACTGTGGGCGCGAGATGCCGCTGGTTCCGAAGGCAGCGGGGCGGATCAAGCTAAGTAAGCGGGTGTGACCGAGCAGGGGGCATCCAGGCGGGCAGGGGCGGCCTGTCTCGGGTCTGTGTTTTCAGTAGGGGTCTGAGTCTCATGCGGTGGTTGAGGTCTCCGGCCAACCCCTCTCCCTGACAGGCGGCTTTCTTTTCCTGTAGACTGTCCTCTGCGGCCCGGCTGCCCGCCGGGGGGCGCTGCTGTCCCCAGGCTCTGCAAGGAATTCGGTCCCGAGGACTACGGCGAAGAGGTAAAGGGGCTCCTAGCTCCCCCTCGCGCCCAGTTTCGGTCGATCACGACTCTTTTCGCCCCGCGGTGCTGAGTCTCGCCCCAGCCGGAGCCCCGCTGGGCTGCGGGCTTGGAGAGGCCTGGCCTCGGGCCCGGACCTCTGGAGCGCGCGGCGCGGGGCGGGGAGGGATCCGTGCGAGAAGTGCGTGGTGCGCGGGGTGGGGCAGCTTGGAGTCTGAGGATCAGGAAGGGAGTAGACTAAGGTAACCAGACATCGCACTTTTGGACAGTCCCGATTTTTCCGGACTTTTTTTAAAACGCCGGGGGACAAACTGTTAAAAATCGGGACTGTCTCGCCAAAAGCGGGACGTCTGGTCACCTTAGAGTAGGAGCTCCTTGGAAAGGGTGTTATGATCAGAGGGAGCCCTGGGAGCAAAGACACCAAAGCAAGGGAAAGTTAAAAGAACTTCCTTGAAATGCAACCTGAGCGGAGGGTTTGTTCGAAACTGTAGGAGATGAGGGAACGAAGGCACTTGAAAGGCTTGCCCAACCTAGGGTTTGGATGTTCTCAGGTAGGTGATCTGGTTATTGAGGGAGGGACAGGTTATTTGATTTGGGAACACTGAGAAGCTAGACTTCCAACGGCTTCATGGTTATCTGTGAAAACCTCAAACTCACAAGTCCAAGAGTTCATCATCTTTGCAAACGGATTGCTCTTCCTCTAATCTTAGTTTCGGTTGATGACACAAACTTCCACCCAGAAATCTGAAAGTCGTTCTATGTCGTTCTCCATTTCCTGTACGTCACACATGTAGTTAGTGAGTCACTACTTCTGAAGTGTCTCTCTCCAATTGAACCCATCATTTCCATTCCCACTCCTGCTGCCACTGCCTTAGTTCAAGAGCTCATTCTCTCTGGCCTGGACAGTGGTAATGGCCTTGTCACTAAACATTCCACCAGAGTATTTTATCTGAGTGTTTTACTTCCCATGTCAGGTCCATTCCCGTCACTGAGGGAACATAGTTCCAACTCACTGGGTCACACGGAGTTCATATATAGCTCCCAGCAGATCTCTATTAGAATAATCTCTTCCCTAATCTGTCTGCCATTACCCACTCAGCACACACTTGCTGAACACCAGCTGTGCACCTAACACAGGCACTGGTTTCTGCTGGGAAGACAAGTCTTATCAAACAGATTTTAAAAAATCCCTTTATTAAATGGATTAGAAATATATAGTGGAAGCAGCCAATTAATAAGTAAACAATTGCTGAAACCGGTTTGGCTCAGTGGTAGAGCGTTGGTCTTCGGACTGAAAGGTCCCAGGTTCGATTCCAGTCAAGGGCATGTACATTGGTTGCGGGCACATCCCCGTTAGGGGGTGTGCAAGAGGCAGCTGGTCAATGTTTCTCTCTCATCGACGTTTCTAGCTCTCTATCTCTCTGTAAAAAATCAATAAAATATATATTTAAAAAAATAATAAAAAATAAACAATATAGTATGTCAAATACAAAAAGTGCAAAGAGAAATAAAGCAAAGAGGAAGCTAGGGACCACTGAGTGGAGTTCAAACACTTGTTTTAAAAGAAATGGCCAGAGAAAGTTTCTCTACAAAGGTGTAAGCAGAGAGTTGAAGGGGGCAGAAGATTGAGCCATTCACTGGGGAAAGAGCATTCCAGGAGAGGACCTAAGTACAAAGGCCCTGGAGATGTTAAAAGTGAAGCTTCTCTCTGCCCTTGGTGTTGTAGGGACTTAAGAGGAGATCACTGTGGCTGGAGGAGGGTGATAAGATGGTAGGAGGTGATTCATGAAGGTATTGGGGGGCCATGTCATGTGTGGCCAGGTTGTAAATGAAGATAATAGCATAGAATGTGTTTGTAGAAGAGGTGGAAGGTCAAAGGAGTATTTTGTTTGTTTGTTTTGTTTTAAGATGGCTGGACTGGGCTGAGGAGGAAAGAGAGGTTGAAGACATAGGGAATGATATATACTAGGATTTGAACGGCAGGTGCATCCTGGGGAGGTTCCTCCGATGGGTCCAGAGCATGCATTATTTGTGTCTAAGTTTCAGTTTCATAAGTTGAAACAAACCCACCAACAATTCAAATTTGAGCATAAAGCTTGATGAAAGTGCCCAGCAATGTAGATGAAGATGCCGTTGAGTCCAGACTGTCTACTGAGGGGAGCCCTGCATCTAACATTGTTTAGAGGTTAACTGTACCTCAGTGATCTGAAGTCCTGCCTACACATTATTTTAGCACTCTGGAGTTTCATGTGGCTTCTGGTTTCTCAGTCAGCAGGCTACCACCTAGTCAGGGTCTGCTCTGTTTAGGCCTGATTAGCCCCATTGGGACGTGATGATTCCTGTCCTTTTTAGTTTAATTTTTATTTTTTTTATATATTTTATTGATTTCAGAGAGGAAGGTTCGATTCCAGTCAAGGCACATACATGCCTGGGTTGCTGGTTCCAGTAGGGGGTGTACAGGAGGCAGCCAATCAATGATTCTCTCTCATCATTGATGTTTTTATCTCTCGCCCCCTCTCCCTTCCTCTCTGAAATTAATAAAAATATATTTTAAGAAAAGCAGTGAATAGTAAGGCTCTGTATTGTATAACACAGTCTGTGTGAGCACAGCTTGGATGAGAGAGACCATTGGTGATGAAAGGGTGTGGCATGTCGTTGAGGGGAGATAGAATTTGAACTGGACCTTGAAGTTGAGACAAGATGTGGTAAGAAAGCAGGCCAGAGCCGGGAGGGATTTGAGGACCACTGGGGGAAAAGCCTATGGCTGGAAAGAGCCTGGTGGCAGAGGGAGGAAAGCAGAGGGAGGATTGGAAAGGTTGCCAAGGAGCTTTTTGGAAGGTTCCAGATCCCAGGCTGAGCAGCTAGATGCCAATGTGTGGCCTTGGCAGTGGGGGGGGGGGGATTACTGGAAGTCTCAGTAAGGGGGTAATTGTTGAGAGCTTGGCTGTGGGGAGAGACATGAAGTGCAGGTGAGAGGCCAGCAAGGAATTGCTGCATTCAGTTAAGCGTGAGGTAGCTCCAGGCGAATTATAGGGGGACTGTTCATATTCAAAGATATGACAGGGGGTGTGACTGGATGAGCAGGTAAGAGGACTTTGTTTTAGTGGCTGACCGAGTGGCAAATCAGGGGAGGAGATACTGGATGGTGGAGAAGGCCAGGCTGAAAGCCACACTCAGCCCTTGGGAAGGCGGAATAACAGTGAAGTGAGGTGATGCGCCATGAAAGCTGAGAGCAGTGTGTTTTGAGGTGCTGAGCTGGGAGAAGTGGGCCAGTTAGGTTCTCCAGGCCGGGTGGCTGCTTTGTGATTCCCATGGTGGAGGGGTCAACCTAGCCAAGCCCCTTGCTCTCTCCCAGAGCTCCCCCCAACACCAGCCTACCTCCCCTCCTCTCCCAGGACATAGTGGATTTTCTTCGACGGCTGGTGGAGAGTGATTCCCAGGGCCTACACCGGATCCGTGTGGATAGGAGCAGCGGGCGGCTGCAGCTGTGGCACCATGGTGGGGAGTGAAGGGGCCGGGCCCAGGGATCAAGGCTGGTACCCTGGGGAGGGCTGGCCCTCAGATGCTCCTCTCCCTCATGTCCTCTCTTTCCCTTCTCTCTCTCCCTCCTGACAGATTACCTCCTGGACCATTTCCACGATGAGGGAGAAACAACTAGACAGAGTGATGGGGGCAAAGGGGCTGCGGGACTGGGTACCTACTGTGGTCTCCGAAAGTCCTTCCTGTGCCCTCCCCAAGGGCCTAAGCCCTGCCCTCAAAGACCCTCTGCCTCGGCATCCTTGCCCAGCGGCTCGGACAGCCTGCTTCAGGTGCCCATGCCCCAGAAGCTCCTGCTGACTGAGGAGGTGAGACTGTCTGCATGGGGCCTCACCTTCTCCCAGGGACCTTTGAAACCCCATATTCCCGTATCTACTTCCCCCCTAATCTGGACCTTCCAGATCCTTCCATACTTGCCTCTCTGTTGCTTTCGCTCTCTTTCCCTGCCACCCGCCCTTCCTCCTCCAGGAAGCCAACCGTCTGGCTGAGGAGCTGGTGGCTGAGGAGGAGCGTGTGAAGCGGAAAGCAGAGAAGAAGCGGCTCAAGAAGAAGGTAGCTAGAGGGCGGGGGCTGGAGCTCAGAGGGATTGGGGGGAGGGAAAGCTTCGAGGTGGCCTGCAGGATCCTCTTGCCAGGGGGCCCAGGGGGCCCAGGGACAGTAGGGCCTCCCTGAGACCACGTGGTGCAGCCATTCTGGGGCCACCACACTGCCTGGGCTGGGCTCTGCCTCCTGCTGGCTGGGAGATGTCTGCCTGGTAACTCTTGTCTGCTTTCTCACTTGTAAAATGAGGATAACAATTCCTCCCTCAAAGAGTTCCAAGAATTAAGTGAGATAGTGTATGCAAAACTCTTCACCGGTGCATACATGGCATAGAGTATATATTCTCCACACGAAGAACTGATCTCAGGATACAAATTTTATCTGGGTAACTTAAGTAGAGTGCTCACAATACATCATCATCATCATTATTACAGCGCCAAAAGGACCGAAAGCGACAGGAGCGCCTGGGGCAGGACAGCCGGGTGCCCAAGGTGAGTGTCCACAGGCAGGTTCCAGGAGTACCAAGTGCCAGGAAGATGTGGCTCCAGGCATTCCCAACTCTGTGCCTGTTTACCTTCCCTCCAGGCGGAGGCCACCTCGGGTGGGAATGGGAGTCCCCCATCCAGCCCTGGAAACACAGCTCCGGGGCAGTGTGGTGAGGAAGAGGTGAGAGCCCCCTTTCTTCCCCTCTTGGCCTCTGCTTACCTCCTGCTTCCCCCTCCTCCAGGACATACTCACCCCCACCCCGCCCTCCCTTTCCTTTCCGCTCGCTCGCAGGACCTCCTGGACCTGTCCAGCACCTTCGTGTCCTTGGCTCTGCGCAAGGTTGGGGATTGGCCCCCCAGCTCTCTCAGAGAGAAGGAACTGAGCCAGGAGCCCCAAGGCAAGAGCCTGGGCCCTCAGAAGAAGATGAGCCAGGAGGAAGGAAGCCCGCCGAGAGAAGAGGCCCCCATGCAGAGCCCTAAGGCAGAGGTGAGGTGAACAGAAGAACCTCCGCTGGAACTAGTGGAAAATTCTGGGGAGTCTGATCTAAGGGTCAAGGGCAGTGACCAAGGAAAGGAGTTCCCTGGCCTCATGTTTAAGAGACTTGGGGTCAAGCTCAAGCTCCACCACTGACACCCTGACCCCGGCTGGTTTCCTCAGCAGGAAAGTAGGGCTGACAGTGTCTTGCTTGAGCTAGTTGATGCCGATTGTAATGTTAATTGTGTAAACAAAAGAGAAGAATTCAGGGAGGTTGAGGCCCAAGTCCTGCTTGACTCTTCTCCCCTTGCCATCCCTAGGCATCTCCGGGACTGCTGGCAGCCGCCTTACAGCAGAGCCAGGAGCTGGCAAGTAAGATCCTCTCTCTCCCTCCTCTCCCCACCCTCCCTAGGCTAGCCCCATCTGAGATAGCTCCGTCTGAACCTTCCACCCTCCCTCCTTGCCAGAGTTGGGTACCGGCTTTGCCCAAAAAGGTTTCTACCGTGAGGCCGTGGTCCTCTTCACCCAGGCCTTGAAGCTCAACCCCCGGGACCACAGGTAGGCAGGGGCTTGGCCGTTGTGCTGGGAGGTCAGGGCAAGGCAAGGTGTTGAGGACCCAGACTTTCAGCCACTTTGTCTTCATCAGGTTATTTGGAAATCGCTCTTTCTGCCACGAGAGGCTGGGTCAGCCGGCGTGGGCCCTGGCTGATGCTCAGGTGGCCCTTACCCTGCGGCCTGGCTGGCCCCGGGGCCTCTTCCGCCTGGGCAAGGCCTTGATGGGACTGCAGGTACGGGGTCCAACATTGGAGGCGGAGGAGGAATGTGGGTGGGATGGTGGGTTCTGGTTTTATATCGACATTTTCTAGGTAAGCTCCAGGTACCGCAATGTCACAATGTCAGTGATATCAGGCGCTGGGGGCCAGCTTGAGAAAGAGGGCACTTTTAAGTTCCTTGACCACTCCCCTTCCCCCAGCACCTAAACTTTCCTCTTTCTAATCTGGGACCAAAGCGTTTGGAGGAGGCCGCTGCTGTGTTCCAGGAGACCCTGAGGGGTGGGGCCCAGCCCGATGCCGCTCGGGAGCTCCACGCTTGTCTTCTGCAGCTCGCCGCCGCGGTAAGGGAGCCAGGCTGCTCTTGCTGAGGGGCAGCAGGGAGAACTGGCTGTGATTGCAACACCGAGAGGGCTGCCTTCTGCCTCAGTGGGGCGGGGGGCGGGGGCAGAATGAATGGGATGAGGGGCAGGAGCCACGCCGCCAGAAAGGAGTAGTCAGGTGGCCCTCCCTTTCCCTTCTCAGCAGGACCAGCGAGGAGGACACCCTGCACCGCCCCCGCCAGCTGGGTTCCCCCAGCCATTTCCCCACCCTCAGCCCGTGGCCGCGGGCCTTCTCTCCCTCAGTCACCCGCCAGGAGCAGGCGCTGCTCCGAGGGCTCCTGGCCTTCCGTCTCCACCCCTGCATCATCCACCTCATCACCTGAGCCTCTCCAGCCGGCCCCACCCCCGGCCTCTGGGTGGAAGACCTCCTCTCCACCTCCAGAACCCCTCAAAGGGCTGGGGCACCCTGGGACTTGGGCCCCCGCATCTACCTCAGGCCAGATGAGGGAAGACCTGTCCCTCATTGGACAAGGCCACGTGTGTATCCCACAAGGATGAGGGACACTATGCGGTGGCTGTTCCCTGAATATTTTGAGACCTTGTACTTCAAAACCATCAGTTAGAGACACCCCTGATGGTCATTCCTCTTGCCACAGAGACCTTCTGATGAGAGAAAGAGGCCCATGCCCGTTAAAACGGCCTTTTGTTCTCAAGCAGATGGCTTCTTCTGGGCCAGTGGTCGGCAAACTGTGGCTCGCGAGCCGGTTTACTGCTCTGTTGACTAATGAGTTTGCTGACCACTGTTCTGGGCAATAAGGAAAAACAAAATCCACCAAGGCTCAAGAAGGGAACCTTACAAGTACAAAAGTTCAGGCGTGAGGACCCTAGGGGGCATCTGAGGCTTGCTGTGCTCCTGGCCCTGCAGAGCTCACTCACTAGCCAGAGCTCTGCGCCTGGGAATGGGGTCTTAGTGATGAGTAAGGCCGAGTCCCACTCCTCACCTGTGGGTGCTCACCTCGTCTTAATCCCAGTGCTTGCCCCATTTTCTCCAGCCTCAGCTCCTCATGACTTGTTTCCTGTCCATATTTTTGTGCACATGTGACCTATCCTTTGCCCGGTGGTCTGATGCTCACTTCTCTGACTGCCAGAAGATTCGCCAAGGGTCTGCATTTGGGAATCCCCTTACCCAGGTCCTGCCTGGAGCTGGCAGAGCCCATCCATCTCCACACTTCCCCCTGCTGGCGGGCCTCGGTAGGCACCCAGGCTGCCTTGGCCCCGTTCTTTCTCCACTTCAGCACTGGACATTGTAACTAGTATTCATCTCTGTGCATTTACTCAGCCTTCCCGCCAAGGGTCGCTGCCCCAAGAGATGGATATAAGTCTCTTCTTCCTATGTAAGAATCATGAGTTCTTGGTTTCTCCGATTCTGGCAGCTGCCCTTGGCTGGTTGCTACCTAGCGTTGCCTGGGACTCTCAGCTCATTTAAATGCAGATCTTCAGGGGATTTTTAGGCCTCTCAGAATGCCCTCCCAAGAGGAACCACTCATCAGGATAAGTGATTCCTGCTGCCTTTTATGGGTCTTGCTCAATACCGTTCATACGTAGAGATAGGAGGTGCTGAAACTGTACAGTCGGATAAAATCTGCCATCACTAGTTGGGTCACCTTGGACAGGTCACTCAACATCTGTGCCTCAGTTCCCTCATCTGTAAAAAGGGTGCAATCCCTACCTCACAGAGCTGTTGCGAGGACTGAAAGAGAAAGTGAGAAAATACCCACAAAGTGCCTGGTACATAGTGACTGTTAAATAAACCAATTTTTATCTGCAACTGTCCTACACATTCATGATTCCCTTGGTGGAAAGAAAGGGAATTGCTGCTTATTTCACAAAATACAGAGTTCCTGGGACGGTGGTTCTCAAAGTGTGGTCCCTGGACCAGCAGCTTCAGTGTCACCTGGGAACTTGTTACAAATGCAAGTTCTCAGGCCCCACCGAAGACCTAAATCAGAACCTGCAGGGCAGGAGCCCAGCGATTGTGTTTCAGTAGTCCTCCGGGTGATCCTGGTGTTCCCATCCAGAGGCCATTTTGAAGGACAGGCTTGAGTTTTGTTTGTTCAAGCCTTGATAAGAGATGGCAGCGCTGGGCTAGAATTTAGGAAACCTCAAGTGGAGAAGGTGTATGGCTCAGAACCAACTAACTTGACTGGCCCCTGCCTTCCTAAGTAGATTTATTTGCCCTGGAAGTTCTTTGCTTCTGCCTGGTTGGGGCGTGGTACTGGGGAGAGGAGCTTGTTGTTTTTAGGGATGACTCCACCAGAGCCCTGCCCACCTGACCTTGTTCTGGGGGGAACTCTGCTTTGGGGATCCCACCGAGGCTCCTGCTGTCTCTAAGAACAGCTGATTACCACGGCTATGTGGTATCTTTGCTTTCAGGCTGAGCTGGCTCCTTGCTCTTCCAGCCTCAAAGACATACTCCCTCTTGTCCTAGACTTGAATCTTCTCCAGGACTCCTGACATTTTTGTCCCCTTACTCACACTGCTAACCAGTAGGGTTGTGACAAAGCAGCCCGAGTTCTGAGCCCCCAGGGCTGGAAAGCAGAGTGCTAACCCATCCTGATTTTCCTGGGACTGAGGGATTCCCTAGGGGTGGGACTTTCCGTGCTAAAGCCGGGAAGGAAGTCCTGGATATACAGGAATAAGTTGGCCAGCCTACTCTAAAGGTTCCAGGGAGGCCGTTAGAAGGGGAGAAAGGAAATAAGCAGGGGTCTTCAACATGAACCAGCGGAGGTATGTGTGTGTATGTGTAGTTGAAGGGACAACACAGTTACAAAGAATATGTATATGATGGCTGACAGATCGGTAGCTCTATCCTAGTTATCATTGTCTGTTTATGTCCATGATGCCGTTTTCCAGTTGCCAGGTTTGCAAGGTTGTCACTGACTCATGCAATTTTTCATCACTGGGGGAATAACACTGATTCATCTTTGCTGACCGCCTCCCTCTTTCCCTGCTCCAAGTCTGGCCCTGAATTCTCTCTGCTCTTACCTTTTGCAGTAGCCAGAAACACACTACTTCCTCAGTCTCTGGTCCACCCTAAACACTGTTCTCATGCCTCTCCTCTAAAACCCCCAAGGACCAGGTTCCGTCTACAGTACAATGCCTATATTTCTACCCTTGGCCCTTCTCCTCTCCTCTCTCTGTAATCTCTTTCAGTTAGGCCCAGTCACACTTATAGGGACAGAACCTACCATGGCCAACAGCATAAGCACGAGTCAGACAACAGGTGAGTCCCAGCCCCACCACTTAGAAGCCTCATGACATGACCAAGTTCCCTTGGGCTTCTGTGATCCATCCAGTTTCCTTACCCTTAAAATGAAATTAAAGCCTCATTATCTCCTGGGGTTATTGTGAAGATTAATCCATGCAAGGCCCCTAGAACTGCTCAGTGAGTGGTAGCTATTGTCTGAAAAGGCCAGGTTCCCTCTGCCTGCCAGCCCTCCTGTTCACTCTCCTGGGACCTCTCCCTGCAACTGAGACCCTAGCTGAGCCTCCTGAACCCTTGAGAGTGAGCCTGTGGTTCCCGGGCAGATGAATGGAAGATCTGAGGAGGGACCTGCTGGGGGAGAGGGGAAACTGGAAAGACGCCTAAGCATAGTCTTCCGCTGATTATCTGGGAGGGACGAACATAAAAGGTCTGTAGCTACTGAGTGCTCCTCTTCCCTCCCCATCACACTGCGCCAGGGTGATTAGCCACCAGTGGGATACATTAATCTCAGAAATGTCTGCCCCAGGGGGTAGGCTGGCAGTTACTCCAACCTCCGCCTCGTGGACTGCGCCATCCCATCCTGTCGCCACCGCCTCTGCCATCCTAGTGGGAACATTTCCCGCCCCACAGTGGAGTGGAGGTCCCGGAAGTAGGGGTGTTCCCCCCCTCTCCCATCTTGCATCACTTTGTGACTCAGCTTAGGGTTCTTTCAGAAGGGGTGGGGAGAAGGGGCGGGTCTCATTCACAAATGACCTCAAGTGGGAAAAGAAAGACAAAATGACCTCATTTGGGGCCCGGCTTGAGGATAGGAGCAAGGTCTCAGAGGTTTCAGGGGGATCAAAGGCTCGAACTGCGGCCCAGACAGCTCTAGGGGAGGTCCTCCCACAGCTACTGGAGTTCCTCGTCCTCCTCCTCCCAGCCCCGAGTCTCCCGGGCTCTGAAGGCTGGCTGGATGCCAAGGACCGAATCCTGGCCCAGGGGCTCTTCCTCTGTACAGTGGCCACAATTGTATCACCTACCTTGTAGGGTTGCTTGCTGTGAGGGTTAAAGAACCCGCTCCGCACATGCCGAGCAAGGGATACCCGAAATGACCAGCAGATTTTGCTCTCATTGCTTGGGGCGGGATGCAATGGAGTCTCCACTTTATTCTCAACTAGGAAAGGTGGGCGTCTGCACTGGGAGCCGGAAGAGGCCGAGGTCCTCAGCCGCCCTCCATCCGCAACCCCGAACAGGGTGCGGAGCGCCGAGGCGAGAGGGCTGGAAGTCCAGCGCTCCAGAGCGAGGGCGGTGGCTCTGCCTTCAATCGTCCACCCGGATCTCCTCGTCCGCCAGGTGGGGCCCGGAGTCCGGCCGCGCCGGGCCCAGGTCGGGCAGCGCGAGGCGGCCCCGGGCCTCGGGGCTCAGCGCGCGCAGCGAGGCCAGGTCGGCGCGCATCTCCTCCGCGTCCCGCCGGAGCTTGGCGCGCCGGTTCTGGAACCACGTGACGACCTGCGCGCTGGCCAGGCCGAGCCGCGCCGCCAGCCCGGCCCGCTCGGCGGGCGCCAGGTACCGCTGGGCCCCGAAGCGCCGCTCCAGCTCCAGCACCTGCTGCGCCGTGAACGCCGTGCGGGACTTGCGCCGCCTGCGGCCCGCGGGGCCCTGGCCCGGGGCGCCCGGGGCCGCGCGGCCTGCGGAGATGGGGGGGGGGGGTGTCAGGCTCCGGGCTGCGGGCACGGGCTCCCGTCCCGGAGGAAAACCCCGCAGCTGCCCGAGTTCCAGGGCGGGGGCGGAGGTGCGGGAGCTGGACCGCGGTCCCTGAGCCAAATGCGCTAGGGGCAGGCCGAGGAGGGGGTGGGGCACGAGGAGGAACCAGCCGCTGGGGTGCGGGAGGCAGCGGGCTGGGGGCCGTCTGGCCAGAGGAGGGAGGAGGGCGGGCCGGGCCAGGGGAGGCCAGCTGCAGGGCCAGGACGTGCGGCGCGCGCCTCGGAGGCCTCCCGAAGGCTCCGATCCGGCGGGCTGCAGGTTGGGGCCCCCGCATCGGAGGGGAGGACCACCCGTGGTCAGAGGAGAGGCAACTGGCCGGCCTGAGGATGTAACAGGACCCCGACCCGGCCCTTCTTTGGACTTATGGGTCGTGTCGGGCACTCTCGGCTTACTCTCTGTTAAGGACACACTCTCCCCCCAGCAGAAAAGGGAGGGAGTGGTGGGCGTGCAGAGGGCAAGGAAAGGCGGAGTTGGATCCTGAGGTCCTGGCGGCCCCAAGGCTCTTCTTGAGCCCCGTGCGCGCTCTCGGGAGGAGAGGGACTAGGAGCGGAGCGGATGGCCCGGAGAGCCCGAGCCTCATCTCCCAGCACTTGCCACGCCTGCCGGGCCCTAGCTCACCAGTTTACAGCCTTCGGCTCCGGCCTTTTGTCTCCTCTCAGCAGCCCTTCGGTCGCGATTGCCCCGCCTACAGCGAAAGGACTAACGGGTCCCCGCTCAGTTCTAGACAGCCCGGCCCTTCCCCTCGCGGGCGTCTGCAGCCGGGGACATGGGAACTAACCGAGGGGAGGGGAGCAGCGGGAGTTTGCAAGACCGACACGTGGGCGGAGGGCAGGGGGCAGACTGGGGTGGCGGCCAGGATGCACAGAGGAGGAGAGAGATGGGGAGAAGGCCAAGTGGCCGTGCGCGCCCCGGCCTGTACCTTCAGGGGGCCGCTGAGCGAGCCCGTCCCGTCCGCGGAAAGCGTTGCTCGCCAGCTCCTCCAGCGCGCACAGCGGCGACGTGGGGCCTGGGCTCGGCTCTGGGAGCTGCGGCGACGCAGAGGCTCCTCGAGGGACCACGCTGGGGCCGAGGATGTCCGCGATGCTGAAGGGTGTCCGGGCTGCCCGGGGCTCGGGTCCCGAGCTCATGGCCGGCCGGCCGGGCTGCGGCGGTCCTGCCGCCCGCAGCGCTCGGCTCCGCAGCTGCCTGGGCCCCAGCTCGCGGCTCCCGATCTGGGCCCCGTCTCGGACCCGCCCCCCACTCTGGGCCCGAGCTCCGAGCCCCGAGTGCCCCTCCTCCTGCGCCCCCACTTCGTAGCCCCGGGCCGCCGTCGGTTTGGAGCTCGTAGCCGTCTGGGCAGCGGAGTTTCTTCTCCAGGCTATGGGGGCGCAAAGAAGCCGGCGGAATGACTCGCCAGACCTGGCGCCCCCCGCTGCTCCGCTCCGTGCTCACTCCGGCTGGATCCTTCCTGGGCGGCCCCCTCCCGCCCAGCCGCGGCTCATAAACTCTCTCGTAGGCAATAAAATTGCTTTCCCTGGTCGCAGCGCCGGGAGATTTGCAAAATGCCAAAGAGGAGCTCGAAGTTGACTGTGCTAAGATCCCCATCCTACCTAGGAAGGACCTCCGTCTCCTGACCTGGCCCCCTCCTCCCCGCGCCACTCCTGCTGAGAGCTCTTAAAAGTAGGTCCCGGCGGCTGGAAGTCATTAGCGTGGCACTGGGCCTGGGGGGGACTCAAGCCTTGGAAGAACCCGGCCCGGCAGAGCGCCTGCGACTGGGTACGGTGGGAATGCGATGTGCAAGCCCGCCCAGGTGAGTGGACTCCAGCCGGCTCTGCTCTGCGGCTGGACCCGAGGCTGTCCGAGCGGGGCACAAAGGCTCTGAGGAAGTCAAAACACAGGGAACCCTAGCCGGTTTGCTCAGTGGATAGAGCCTTGGCCTGCACGTTCCATTCTGGTCAAAGGCACATGCCCGGATTGTGGGCAGGAGGCAGCCGATCAACGAATTCTCTCTCATCACTGATGCTTCTATCTCTCTTTCCCTCTCCCTTGCACTCTGAAATCAATTGAGAAAAACAAAACAAAACATGGAGAAGCGCAGAGACCTAGCATCAGGAGAGAAGACACAGCAAACCCAGAGCTAGGGTTATTATTGCTCAGGAGGGTTCTTTGCCAGGAAAGACTGGCCTCCACATCAGTTGATGTCTTTGTCTCCTCATTTAACTCCTGTCATCCTAGTTGGAGTTCCCCCGCCTGGGAGCAGTGGTGAGAGGGGTCCCTATGGAGGAGTGACAGGATATATCCAACCAGATTCTGGGACAGAAACCCCTGCCAAACGCTGAGGACGCAGATAGTTATTCCTATTTTATCTGCATCCAGGTGTCACTCACTCTTCTCTTCCCTCCCACAGCTCGCCGAACCCAGGGCTCACACCAGGGTGAGCACCGCCCCTGCCCTCCTGTGTAGGAATAAGGCACTTCCGGGACAGCTGCTCCACCAGTGGAGCCCAGCAAGGCAAGGCTTTTGTTCGAATATCACATCCCAATAGCCAGAGGGCTTTCAGCCCTGAGACAGAAGCCCCTCACCTGAGGAACTCGCACTCTGACCGAACTCTCCCCTATGGGTTTCTACTAGTTTTTTTTTTTTTTTTTTTTTTTTTTTTCTAACAGTGCCATGAAGAAGTGGGTCATCCCTCCTGGACTGTCCATTCTGTCACCTTCTCTGTAAACCTCTGCATCTCCCACTATCTCTGTGCAGTGATCTTCAGGGTCCACTTGTCTATTCCCTGGGGCAAGTGGAGCCGGTAGTTGGGGTGCCCCAATCAGAGCTTGGGAGATCTGAGGCCTGTGGGCCAAAGACTCCTTTCAAAGACAGAAAGACACTCTGATCATGGGGTTAAGGAACCTCACGGTGCCATACTGACCTCGTCCATCCCATCCAACGGAAGTAGAGAAACACAGAGTCTTCTTGGTAAAGACTCCCTTCAATGCGCACCCCCCCCCCCCATACCCACAGATACTCACACGGTGCTCTAGTGGCAGCCAGAGCAACACAGCCCAATGGGTCAGAGAGCATGGGCAGGCCACAGCAGAAAGCTGAGATGCGTCAGGACCTTGTTAATGGGTTATTAATGGTGGGGGGCAGAGGAGGGTCAGGAGAGATCCTCCTAGCTGGAGGCCTTAGCCCTCGGAGCCATCCTGGTGGTTTCACTTAATCTGAAATTAAAGAGGGTCCCAGGGGGATGCAGGAACTGGCTAGCTCCTGTACCAGGCCAGTCACCAGACACTACAGCTCTCACTCATGCATCATCTGTGTTGCATTTGTCGCCTTTTGCTCTCCATAGCCAGTGTGTGTCTGTGGGGAGTGTGGGGCTCTCCGGAGGCTCTCTCCTGCCTGCCTTCCCTGCTGTGCAACTGCCCTCAGGTAATGGGGTTGGATGACAGTTAGGCAATCCCCAGATGTGCATTTGGGGGAGGAGAGGGAAGGAGAGACTAGTAATGGGAGGAGGCTGCTGACAGCAGAGCCCAACTAAGGTCTCCCCAGCAGCCAGCGACTTGTCCAGCCTATTGTGGGGCCACAGGAGGGGACTTTTCCCAGCGATGCCTCTGGAACCTGAGCTGGGAAGAAACCGGATCCTCGGATCCCCGAGGGGGTAGGAGGAGCGTGAGTGATTAATGAGGACGATTAAAAGATTAAACCTGGGTTCTAGGCTTGAGGGGCACTCCGTTGACTCATAGACTTCCCCCACTCCAGTTTGGGGGACTGATAGGCCCCAGTGCTCCCTGATGTGAACCTCTTCTTCCCCCCTCCCATGGTCCAACTCTCCCTGCCTTGGGTCCTTCCTAGAGCAATCCACAGACATAATCATTCACCACAACCCACCCCCACCCCTCCCACCACGTCAAGTTTTCCTCTCCCAGCATTCTCAAGCAATCCCTCAGGTCTCCCTCAGATTCCCCTCACTGTTCTTTTCAGAAACTTCTGGTTCCTCCACTCCCTCCCTTCATAAAGGTCTCCACAGCCGACTTTCACTCCCTCAGGAAGGTGCCTCAATTCCCTCTTTTAAAAAAATGTTGCCCTAGCTGGTTTGGCTCAGTGGATAGAAGGTCAGCCTGCGGACTGCAGGGTCCCGGGCACATGCGGGGCTTGTGGGCTGGATCCCCACCTTTTCCCTCATTCCCAGACACCTCGCCTCTCACTCACCCAGCCACCCTCAGCCTCCGGTGAGTCCCTTCAATCCCACCCAGGCCTGTCCCAGATTGGCCCCTATTCTTGGTACAGAAATCTGTCCAATAAACTACTTTTAATCTTCAGTTTTGCATCCTGGGCAATCCTCTGAATTGCGTGTGTGTGTGTGTGTGTGTGTGTGTGTGGTTGGGTTTTGGGGGAATCCTCAGAATAACTCCCCTGGGGTGATGCGAAGGACAGTCTGGGAGATGTGCTTGCCAGGGCGGGCTATGAATCTCTCTCCCCCTCTTGCCCCAATTCCTCAGCCAGATGAGAGTAAGTGGAGGTGTATAGGGAAACTCCAAGCAGAGAGCTTGGCGAGGCATCCATCCATCTCACACACTTCTGGGATTTTCTCTTGCGAAAACATTACTGCAGAGTGAACGGATGTGGACACCCAAGTTTCAGTTTCGTTATGTCTAGGACTCGGTTTGTAAGTTTTTTCCGGCCCTTTGCACTGTTTCACACAGAGCTCTGCGAACCGAACCGCCGCCTGCCGGGGTGTGCGGGGGGGGGGGGGGGGGGGCGCGCGAAGGGGACCTGAGGAATACCCAGCGGCCTCCCACCTCCACAAACTTACACCCTGGGACCCTTGTCCCTATATCCTCTCCCAGCCTTCCCTCTCCCCCTGCCCCCCTCCCCGCCCAAAGTCTTGGGAGAGACTGGCCAGGCTGAGAGGGACGAGTCCCTTCTATGCCAAATGCCAAAGGCTGGGGCAAATCTCAGGGTCCCTTGTCCCAGGTGGGAGTAGCTGGGTGAGAAAGGGCGGCAGAGGCACTGGCGGGCGAGGGCCGACACCTCCACCTGGAAGCGCTGCAGGTCACTGGCGGGCGCGGGGGAGAGGGCCGGGCCGGCGGTGAGCGCGGGATGAGCGCGGGCTGTGCCGGATCCCTAGAGAACCGGGGGTGATCCATCCGCCCCGCAGGGTCTGCTGCGTGGAGCAGGCCAGGGAAGGGGGAGGAGCACCAGCAGCAGACAGAGATAAGGCTCCCTGAGCTGGGGTAAGGCGGGGCAGCTGCTCCACTCAGATCTCTCTGAATGCCCCGGGGCTGCTCCGTGGCCCCAAGCCTCAAAGGCCTCCAGAACTGGGGGCCCTCAGGCTGGGTCCTTTTAGCCAGCCATTCTTTTCCTTTATTTTTGTTTGGTTTTGTTCATCTTCACCTGAGGATATTTTTTTCTATTGTTTTTTTGTTTTTTGTTTTTTTTTCAGAGTGGAAGGGAGGGGTAGAAACATCTAGTGAGAGACACCCAAGGATGGTTGCTTGCCCCACGCCAACAAGGGAGGCCGAACAGGAATGAACCTACAACGAAGGGACATGCCCTTGGCAGGGAATCGAACCCACGATCCTCTGGTGCACCAGTGGAAGCTCTAACCACGGAAACACCAGCCAGGGCTAGCTGGGCATTCCTGACCCAAGCCAAGCCCCAACCGGACACTCCCCAATTCCTGCAGCTGTTTGAGCCACCCAAGGCCCTAAGGTGTCTTTCCCCCTAGCCCACACCTCCCTCCTCACTCCTCAGAACCACCCTTTCACACAGAAGGCAAGCTTCTGCCTACCCGGTAGAGACCCACAGAACAGGAACATTAGTGTGGTTTATTTTCAGAGCCCAGCACCCATGGCGAGGCTCGCACAGACCAGGAAGCTTGCTGACTTACTCGGGCAGAGGCTAGCCTTTCTACTTCCCTCTTGTTCCTTTGAGCTGCTTTTGCCCTCCTGAGCTCCAGCTCCCTCTCTCCCTCAATGACTCTCTCTACAAGCTGGCTTCACCTAGCCCAAGGACCCGAAGGCCTGCGGAAGCTTGTACAGACAGCCAAGTCTCCAATTCTATCCCTGTGAGTGTCCCATGCCCCATTTTTTTTTTAAGCCTCCTCCGATTATGCAAATCTTCGGATTTTTCTTTAAAATATCACTCTTGTCCAGTC